CCTCAGAGCTGAAAGCAAAGCTGTGCAACCCCGACATCAAAATCACGACGTCACGCAAAACAACACAAGAGAACAAGTTACATTCACTGGCTTTTATCATGCCAAGAAGAGAGGTATGAACGCAACCAGCTCGATGTCCGGTTCTGCGGGACCAAGGACATGGTTGCTGACATCCTCACCAAGCTGCTCAATGGACCGAGCCATCGTCGTTTGTGTGACATGCTCTTCCGTTCTCAGCTTGAAGGGGAGTATTAGAGGCACAATCTGAGACGGTATACTTGACCACGTTGTGTGTCCTCTGGTACTTGATGTTGTCCCACCTTGTTGTGTAACATCTGGTTGTACCATCTTGTTGTGGCATCTGTTGGTCCCAACAGATTGCTGATATCGCCTCCACCTGTCTTCAGTGTGATAGTCCATTCTCTGTCTCCACTGTGTGTGTGTGTTTCCACCTGCTATAAATGGGAGCGATCTCCCTGGATCGGTACCATTTTCCTTCTTGACCTCGGTCGTTCCACTTCCCTCCTTCTGTCTTGTTCTGTCTTGTTCCTTCGCCTTGCTTCAATCCATGTTCTCGTGTACACTTCGATTGGTTGGATACCTCTGTGACAATCGCCTTGTCCACACACATTACACTGTACTGGACATACACCTTTAATATGTTTTGTACGATTTTTGTTTCTATGTGCGTGATTCTTCGCACTTGTACTTCTTGGCATGATAGAAGCCGATGAATGTAGCTTGTTCTCTTGTGTTGTTTTGCGTGCCGTCGTGATTTTGTTGTCGGGGTTGCACAGCTTTGCTTTCAGCTCTGAGGTTCAAACACCTAATTTATTATTATTGATACGGGCCTGATCTACTCAGGTCTCGAAAGGGCGAGCCTGGTCGACTCGGGCCTGTTCTGAACGAGCCTCATCGGTGCGGGCCTGATCGGTGTGGGCCTGATTGATACGGGCCTGATCTACTCAGGTCTCGAGAGGGCGAGGCTGGTCGACCCGGGCCTGTTCCGAACGAGCCTGATCGGTGCAGGCCTTTTCTACTCAATCCTGATCGGTGCGGGCCTGATCTGTGTGGGCCTGATTGATACGGGCCTGATCTACTCAGGTCTCGAGAGCCTGATCGGTGCAGGCCTTTTCTACTCAATCCTGATCGGTGCGGGCCTGATCTGTGTGGGCCTGATTGATACGGGCCTGATCTACTCAGGTCTCGAGAGGGCGAGGCTGGTCGACCCGGGCCTGTTCCGAACGAGCCTGATCGGGCGGACCTGATCTGTGTGGGCCTGATTGATACGGGCCTGATCTACTCGGGTCTCGAGAGGGCGAGGCTGGTCGACCCAGGCCTGTTTCGAACGAGCCTGATCGGGCGAGGCCTTATCTACTCAATCCTGATCGGTGTGGGCCTGATCTGTGTGGGCCTGATTGATACGGGCCTGATCTACTCGGGTCTCGAGAGGGCGAGGCTGGTCGACCCGGGCCTGTTCCGAACGAGCCTGATCGGTGCAGGCCTTTTCTACTCGAGCCTGATCGGTGCGGGCCTGATCTGTATGGGCCTGATTATACGGGCCTGATCTACTAGGGTCTCGAGAGGGCGAGGCTGGTCGACCCAGGCCTGTTTCGAACGAGCCTGATCGGGCGAGGCCTTATCTACTCAATCCTGATCGGTGTGGGCCTGATCTGTGTGGGCCTGATTGATACAGGCCTGATCTACTCGGGTCTCGAGAGGGCGAGGCTGGTCGACCCGGGCCTGTTCCGAACGAGCCTGATCGGTGCAGGCCTTTTCTACTCTATCCTGATCAGTGCGGGCCTGATTTGTACGGGCCTGAACTACTCAGGTCTCGAAAGGGCGAGTCTGCTCGACCCGGGCCTGTTCCAAACGAGCCTGATCGGGCGAGGACTTTTCTACTCAATCCTGATCAGTGCGGGCCTGATTGATACGGGCCTGATCTACT